GATATCACTGTTTAGCAAGATTATGGATGAAGGTTCAAATCCTGAAAACCTTCTTGCAAAACTGCAATTAAACATGTCAGCCAATAATCATCACTCATTGTATAAAGAAGATATGGGAAAAGGGTTAGTTATGGTCAGAATTATTGCCTCCCCTTGGTAAATATGAGCAAACAAGTCTGTGAAAATATGCATTTTTTTATCCTTTTGATCTTTCTTTCAAAAAAAAAAAATCACAAAAATCTAATCTTGTATTGAAATACTGAAAATGGAAAATGGGAGGGAAAATAAATATTTAATAAATAATTAAATAAATGCTTTTATGAAATAAATGTTTTTCTCCAATAGACAGAGCCCACAATTATTGGCTCTATTTTTTTAATACTTTTTGCTGTTAAGTTAACAGCTTTCAGCTTTAAGTTAACAGTTAAGAGTCTTTCCTGTAGTGCCTGATGTGGTTAGAGATCAGAGACAATTCTTCCATATAAAATCACTCCAGACCCTTCTGATTCCCAGCGTCATGTTGGTGCCTCACCTCTTCAGTTCACCACACTCATTTTCTATAGGGTTCAGCTCAAGGAACTGGGATGGCCATAGCAGAAACTTTGTTTTGTGCTCAGTGACCCATTTTTGTGTTGATTCTGATGTTTGTTTTGGATTATTGTCCTGAAGGAATATCCAACCACTGCACATTATATGATTTCTAGCAGGGACGGTCAGGTTTTGATTTCTTTTCATGATTTTTTCCCGAAACACTCATGTGGTGATGCAGGTGCTGTTTGATATTTTTTTAGGCTTTCTGACCCCGAGACTCAGCTATTTTCTGCATTTCTCTAGCTGTGATCCATGGAGAGTCTGTGGCCACTCCTCACCTTGCTTTAAGTCAATATAGACACACGTCCTCTTCCAGGCAGATTCATATCATTTCAAGTTTATTTCATGTTCCTAGTCACCCTGGTAAGCTAAAAGAAATGTAAACATGAATAGGGATTATACTTCATATTTTATTCATAAGAATTTCTGGGGTGCTAATAATTGTGGCCAACGCGTATTGGAGAAAAACATTCATTTCATAATGTGATCCCCCCATACACCCCTCCCCCCCTTCAATTTTAACGAGTGGTAACTCATCTAATCTAACAAGGGAATGTACACACCACATGCATATACCAGATACAATTATAACTGATTAATTATAGTCTAAAATAAAGAAATGTCTTTATGTGTGTGTGTGTGTGTTAGTTTGGGTGTGTGTGTGTTCGTTTGGCCATTCACAGCTCTTTGTGGAATGTTTTTGAACTCAGATTCCAGGATTCTCGTGGGGGCTGGTTCTAATCTTTTTTGACGGCGAAGAACCATTTGGCAATTTACAACCCCTATACAAGTAACATCTCTGACCAGAACTGTAATTTATATGCAAATGTCAAAAGGCTAAAAGGGTCTTTTAAGCCATAAACAGTCCAACACTCCAGCATGATCCTACGCAGACGCTACATAACACATCTAGTCTTTCATTAATAAGCTGCTGTGTCTTTATTAGGGATTTAAATTTAAACCACTGTTTAAAACACAAGATTATTATGATGTGTAATGAGAACATTTGATTTACTCATAAAAAAGGTGCAGATTTTCAATTGAATAATTTTAAGAATTAATTCAGTTAATCAGAAGCAAGTATTGCAAGATTCATGTTTTAAAAAATAAATGATAAGGTAACTATAATGTAATTCATATGTAATGTAATCCTTTTTCCATTAAAAACATATACATTCTTTGAAATTTTACAGACAAATATCTTCCAACACATATTGTCCTCTGTACATGGACAAATGTAAGCTATTTTTTACAAATATAAGATGACAAATTCAATATAACAAAAAAACGAAATTCCTTGTTCTCTTAGCTTTACTTAAAAAAATGTTTTATTTCAGTGATGAACTGGAGTTCATCGCCAGAGATCAGGAGAGCAGGTAAGAGTCCACTTTGAATGAATGAGACCGGACAATGAGGTGAGACTAGTTGTGTGTCTAAGTAGTAGTGCTGATGAGTGAACTTGATGAGGTGCAAGTGTAGCTGGTTAGTAGTCGGGAGAGAGAGAGCACTGTTATTGGGTGTTCTCATAGCCTGGTCGATCTGTGACAGTACACCCCCTCCACGGCCCGCCGTGATGGCAGACCTCTTTTCTCAGCTGATCACATCTACCTATAGGAATACGACACCTATCGCGGCATTCCTATATAAGCTCTATTCAGTATTATTCAGCAGCTTTTCAGCTTGCTCTGGAGCAAATTACCCTCCTCCATCCCCAGCTCCACTTTTCACCACAGTCAGGACTTCGCTTTCTGATATTCCTTGCTAATCAGACTCCTTTATCTTGAATAAAGTGTTACTCTTAAATATCATTAAGTACATTGATGATATCTGCCTTGTTCTGTTCTGTTAACCCTGGGGGGGTTATTATTGCTGCTCTCCCTGCTCATTCATGACAGGCTGCATGGATGGGCAGGGAGTTTTTTGCCCAGAACAGAGCCATACTGCCAAACCAAACTTTATGCTAAGTATCTATCATTTTGACGATAGTGGTCCTGACAGAAATAAAATGAGTTCAAAATACTCAAAAAGCTGATGCAAAGAGTTGCCTCAATTTTATTGAGTCAAACGGGCACAATATTTTTTTTTACAGTGTAGTCCAAGTTGGATCCAAAAACAGTTGATATTCATTTTAATCCAAAAAGTACACATTACTCGATCATTGGAAATTATTTTCCAACAACACCCTTCAGCTTGTAAACATGAATGTTTATGAAAAATGTGTTTAAAATACAGCACACGAACAGGCCAGCATGTTAATGGAGCTTACACGAACTAACAATTAACAACCCTTGTGAAAAAGAAGTACGCTTTAGCATACATTTAAAAAGAGTACTTATTACAGAAATAATATACTTTAAAAGAATATACTTAAGTGTGAACTTAATGTAATGTTCTCGGATACTGAATTAAACATTATTTTCAATTAAATGACAATGTATTTTAGTTTACATCTATATTTAATGCAATCAGTTGAACTTAAAGGTGGGGTAAGTGATTTCTGGTAGCCAATGTTGAATGTTTGGTGAAATCACCAAAACAAACACTCCCCTACCCCAAAAGGGTCTCGCCCCTATTTTGATAGCTCCACCCCACACATATGTACGCAACCCAGGCAACGATTAGTTCTGTGAAACAAAGCAAAACCAATGTTACACCGTGTCTACACCAGACGCAAGTGGCTCAAAATACTATAGAACTCATTATAATCAGTGATGCTGTCTACACCATATTTATATATACATATCTATGGTCTACACTGGATGCGGCGTGGCACGACACAACAAATCCCTGACAGAAAACTGCTGCTTCCATTTATGACGTATTGACACAAATTTCAAATGATTTTCAATGGTAGTTTTGTCACGTCCATTGTACTAGACAGACTTTAGCTGTTGCAGCGCAGACATGGTGTTACTCGCCTATTGAGAAGAAACAAAGCAACCTCGGCGTCCGATCGCAGGCCTTCCGCTCCTTGAGTTCTCTCCAGTGCTGGAAAGCTGATCCGATATTTACACGAGTCCTACTTCTTGCCTTATTGCCTTAAGCCTTCTTTTGTTCCGCAGACGTTTTCCTCTTTAGTTTTTTATCCGCAATCTCTATCTTTCTGTGACTCGGCTCGCTAATGTCCGTCCTGTGCACTGAACTCTCTCTCCTCCACATCATGAGTAGACACGCCGCTTACTGCTGATTGGCTACAAGTTTGTTTTGCTAGTTGGCCCGAATCAGTTTTCTAAAGCATTTTTGAAAAATCACTTACCCCACCTTTAAAAGTGCTTTTCACCCACTTAAACAGGACTTAAGTACATTTTATATGTAATTTCATAATTGCTTGTATTGTCTTTGAAATATGTTTATAGTGTGCTACATGTACTGGCAAGCATTTATTGTAAACTAAAACATAATTTAATGTAATTTCTACTTCTATTCTACTTCTACGTATGTTACTTGAGTGTGTTAAGAAACATAGTCATGAAAGTGTTCTTTCTTTTAAGTGCACTTTTATTTCAGTAATATTGTATTATCTGTATTAACTCCAATTGTTTTTGTTTATTTTGTTTTTAAAAACTGAAGGACAAGATTAAATTAATAAAACAATTAAGAATTTGGTTTTCGAAAGTTTCGACAGCAGTTAGGATGTTAAGTGTCTTACGTGTCACAGCACTCCATTTCCCCGAGGGAGCAGATACATCTGTTACATCTGCCGTTTGTCCAAGTACTTCCCATTGGATGCTTGGAGTTATCATAGTCATCGACACAATGTTTTTCCCCTATTTAAATTCAATAAAATTAAGAGTTGTTAAGAAGAAATGCAGAGTTTATTTACCTAATAGTGTACATACACCCCCTTTTAAATATGTAGGATGATGAGTGGATGTGTGTCTCATTGTTATAATTGAATATTTCCTGTTCTTGGGTATTTGACATGAAATATGCTTCATGTAAACCTATTTTCTGTTAAAAAGGGTGATTCAAATGCAAATAAATGGCGAAAAACTAAGTTATAGTTAAGACATTACAGTTTCTGTTAGTTCCAGTTCAAGTTCATTTTATTCATATAGTACATTTATAACGGCCACTAGGCTGACCAAAGTGCTTTACAGAGGAGCAAGATTAGAAGAAAATATAACATGCATAGAAAACAAGCCAGACAAAAAATAAGAACAACATCGTTAAGAATTACCATATAGCAGGAGGACCAAAAACAGAATATAAAGCTCAATTCAATATACTACGGAAAGCAAATACGTTTTTAAAAGAGACTTAAAAGCAGACAGAGAAGGGGCCGTTCTAAGTTCTAAAGGCAGGGTGTTCCAAAGATGTGGCCCTGCCACCACAAATGCATGCTCCCCTCTACGCTTGAGTCTAAAGTGAGGGACTACCAGCAGAGCCCGGTCGCAGGATTTTAGGCTTCTAGACGGAGTGTATGGATGAAAAAGTTCAGAGAGGTAGACACAGCTAGGTTATGTAGAGATTTATATGCAAAAATTAGAATTTTAAAGTCTAGTGAACCGGCAACCAGTGAGAGTGAGAGAGCCTTTGATTTCTTTCAGGAAGAGGAAATGATGGGCTAGCCATGATTTAACCTCCTCCTAGCAGAAGAGATGTAATCGCTGCGGGATTGTTTCTTTTGATTGGTAGATAGATTTGAGTATCATCCGCATAGAATTAAAAGACACCATGTTTCCTTAGAACAGAGCCCAGAGGTAGCATGTAGAGAGAAAATAGAGAGGGAGCTAAAATAGAGCCTTGTGGAAGGCCGCATGCAGGTCAGAGGTGCCATGGAAGAGATAAAATTACCCATCTTCACTAAAAATGTTCTGTCAGGCAGTTATAACTGAGACCATTTCAAAACGGTTGCTTTTAAACCCACCCAATACTCTAGTCTAGATAATAGAGTGGGGTGGTCAATAGTATAAAATGCAGCAGATAAATCTAAAAGAATAAGAACCACAGAATCTCCGGAATCGGTAGATAGATATCATTTAACACTGAAAAACCTCATAGATACAATTACTTGACAGAAAATGTTGGAGTTGACCCAACACAATTTTCTCCAATACCTTTAAAATGAAAGGGAAAACAGAAATAGGCCGAAAAAAAATTTGAAACAGAAGGATCCAGTGAAGCATTTATTATTTTTGATGTTTAAACCATGTTTTTATTTACCTTGTTTTAGAAGGGTCAAGTAGCAGGCAGAATTGCTTAAAGAGACAAAGGCACAAAATACCAAAACCAGAGCCAAAGATGTCTGTAAAGAGAAAACTAGGAACTTATTTTAAAAAAAAAACACACAGTATACAACAGAAAATGTTTATATATAAATTCTATATTGATCAGTAGCATTATGAAACTTACCATTTTTTGCAAGTTTAGCACAGATGCTGGTCTGATGAAATGCAGTCATTGGTACTTTAGGTCTTTTTAAAGAAAACAGAAGAGGGGCGGAACATCAAACATTTCAACACACATATGGACTGATCATCAACTTGTTTGATTACCAACTTTAACTACTTGCACTTTTATGCAAAAAAATATGCACTTCTATGGAAAATGTTCATGTCTTTAATGCAAGTGAGATGGGCATCCCATAGGACCTTTATGGATAGGCTATAGACTATGGCCCATATTTTAATGATCTAAGCGCATGGTCTAAAGTGCACTTTGGGGCGTGTCTGAATCCACTTTTGCTAGTTTAACAACGGGGAAAATGGTCAGTGCGACAGGTACATGGTCCAAAAGGGTTGTACCTATTCTCTTAATGAGTCATGGGTGTGTTTTGGGCGTAAGATGCAATAAACCAATTAGAGTCTTATCTCCCATTCCCTTAAAATATTAGTTGCACTTGGGCCATGGCGGATTCGCTATTTACATGGCAGAATTTGCAAGAGCCGTGCACTTTAGTCCATACGCTTAGATCGTTAAAATATGGCGCATTTGGTCAAAGGTGCAGTCTATTTCAGTTGCCTCAAAATAGCAACATGCCAACAATGCACCTGAACACACCTCGTTTTCAGACCAGCATGCCCCTGGGCGCACAAGTGGGCGCAAATACATTTGCTATTTAAACAACATGGCGCAGGACGTAAAAATTATAACTGCGTCGGGCTGAAACTAGCAAAAAACGCCAGGTGTATGATAGGGCCCTTTATGATTAATCTTCTGTGGATATTATGTTATTGAGAAGTTATTGGTTGCAAAATGTGTTTTTTTAATTCGAAATTGTTATCTTTGTAAGCAGTTATCATACACTGTTTCATAACCACTTAACAACACCAGATGTTTCCTGATATATTTCTCAATATATGATTGTGTCAGCTTCAAGTTGTCACAATAACTGGGGTCAGACAACAGGATTAGGGTCTTCAAGAGTTCACTGCAAAACTTTAATCTTGATCCAGCATATTACATTTAAGTCAAGTCACCTTTATTTAGACAGCGCTTTATACAATTCAGATTGTGTCAAAGCAGCTTTACAGATTCAAACAGGAAAAAAGTGTGCTGATAAAGCAAGAAGACAACAGAAAACAGTCAGTTTATTAGTTAAAGTCATTGTTGATTCAGTGATGTCATCGTCCAGCTCAGTTCAGTTCTCTTCCCATAGTGTCTGTGCAGTCAAGTCAACAATGTTGCCAGAAATTGTATCCCAACTAAGCAAGCCGAAGGTGACAGTGGCAAGGAATCAAAACTCCATCGGTGACAGAAATGGAGAAAAAACACTCTCCTCTGGCCAGACGAAACGAGCATGGTGTGTTAATTCAAGGCTGCAACACATGTCAGATTGAGCAGAGGACTCGTCTGGTTCTCGTGGTCTTGTGCCGATGGCCGTCTAGTTGATAAGGTCTTCGCAGGTGATCTGTCTCTAGGGTTCATCTAGTTGACATGGTCTCTGCTGACGTTCAGTGCTGGAGAGGTTGTCTCTAGGTGCTGATCCACCATCTGGAAACGGACTGGATCTGTGTGGCTGCAGTGACCCCGGAATAAGAATAAAACAGACTAATAATAGCTTATGCCATTCTTCTTATGATGTAACAAGTACATCGGATGTTATGGGAAGTGTTCCCGGTTCTGCTAGGTAGATTGTTCCAGAGTTTGGGCGCTAAATAGGATCTACCGCCCGCAGTTGATTTTGATATTCTAGGTGTTACCAAATGGCCAGAATTTTGAGATCGCAGTGGATGTGAATGACTATAATGCTATATGAGCTCGCTCAAGTACTGAGGCGCTAAACCATTCAGGGCTTTAATTAGCAATATTTTAAAATGTAAACAATGTTTAATAGGGAGCCAGTGCATTGTTGAGAGAACCGGGCTAATATGGTCATACTTCCTGGTTCTAGTAAGAACTCTAGCTGCTGCATGTTTGAACCAGCTGGAGTTTGTTTATTAAGGGCACAGAGCAACCACCCAATAAAGCATTACAGTAATCTAACCTTGAGGTCATGAACGCATTAATTAAAGTTTCTGCATTTGACATTCAGAGCATCAGCATAGGTTGTAATTTTAAATAAATGTTTAAGATGTAAAAATGTGGTTTTACAAAATAGAAACTTGACTTTCAAAGGAAAGGTTGCTATAAAAAAGCACACTAGGTTTCTAACTAATGATGAAGAATTGAGAGTGCAGCCATCAAGTGTTAGACAGTGTTCTAGATTATTACATGCAGATGTTTTTGGTCCGATAATTAAGACCCCTGTTTTTTTAGTAGGAAATTACTAGTCATCCAGTTTTGTTGAATCAACCATTCCTTTAGTTTTATGAATTGGTATGTTTCGTCAGGCAGCGAACAAACATAGAGCTGAGTATCATCAGCATAACAGTTAAAGCTAATACTATGTTTCCTGATGATATCTCCCAAGGGTAACATGTAAAGTGTGAAAAGCAACGGTCCTAGTACTTAGCCTTGTGGTACTCCATACTGCACTTTTGATAGATATGATACCTCTACGAAATAATGATAGTCAGATTGGTATGATTTGAACCATGCTACTGCAATTCCACTAATGTCAACATAATTTTCTAGTCTATTCAAAAGAATGTTGTGGTCGATAATATCGAAGGCAGTGCTAAGATCCAGTAGCACTAATAGAGAGATACAACCATGATCGGATGATAAGAGCTGGTCATTTGTAACTTTCAAAAGAGCAGTCTCAGTACTGTAATACAGTCTAAATCCTGACTGGAAAACATTTAGAAATTGCACATTTCAAAGCATCGTTTTTGTGTATGTTGCCAAATTTGTGACGTGGGAAGTCCAGAATTTGGCACACAGTGTCAATACCTCCATAACAACAGTTGATTCACACAGAATATGTGCACTGAAGGTGTGTGATACAAAGTGAAATTAAGAAAAAAAAAATTTTTCTGAAACATACATACTGCGTTTAAGTTGAAGATGTACATCATTCTTTACAATACTTTATAGCAGTTGATTATCAGCTGGTTAAGATCCACTGGTTTATGCAACATCATAAAGAAATACCCAAAAGACTAGAGCTTCTTTTAGACCTGTTTATTGGTATTAGATATCAGTATAGTTGGAATTGTTGTTGTGATCTGTGATTTGGTTGTGACTAGTTTTCTAAATAAATAAAATAAGGCTTGAACAGAACATTGTGTAGATATGAGTTCCTGTTCAGAATTACAACTATTTTTAGATACATAACCAGAACTAAGGAAAGAAAAATATCTGACATTTAAGTAATGTAATTGCTTGTTGAATTTACAATTTCTCTTATACAGTGCTCTGTAATTGACAACTAAACAGGGAAGCACAAATCTATCTATCTATCTATCTATCTATCTATCTATCTATCTATCTATCTATCTATCTATCTATATATATATATATATATAAATCAGAGTGAATGGTTAACCTTAATTTCCCTTGTTTAACTCATTTATTCATTATTATAAGATAAAACATCTGAATTACATAGTTTTAGCTGGTAATTTCCAAGTACCAGATTTATTCAAGAAACATTTAAGACTTTTCCTTGACATTTTACTGTTCCTTTACATTATATTAAAATGTTGTATCAGACCAAAGAGCTCTGGGTGGAAATTGTGTTCATGTTACATGACTGAGATTACTATAGTATAGTACTACAGTAGTAATACATATAACTTAAAAATAAAAATAAAAATTTTATACTTTCCCCCAGAAATGTTTTGTTTTGTTTTTTAAATCATAAATTTCATGAACATGTAGGCTATGACATGTTTTTATGTAAATAAGACCCTCAAATAAACGAGTGTTATGTCAGTCAGATCATTCTATCACAGGCACAAAAATGTAAAGAAATGGCATGTCATGGTTTTAAATAAAGGAAGGGTGAATAAACTCAACGTGTACATTTTAGCCTACCGCTTATATAAAGTAGTACATCCATCATTTTATTTGAACTATTTACTCAGTATTACATTTTAGTGAAATTCAAATATAATAAAATAATCCTAGAATAGTAGTGTAACGGGGCTGACGAGACGTGAGACGTGGAGATCCATATGCAAAGCTTTATTGAGCAGAGAGGTCAGAAACACAGGCAGGGTCAAACAGTGGCAAACAGGTATATGGCGGGCAAGACACAAGAATAGTCCTAGGGCTAGCGTAGGTCGATGAACGGCAAACAGAATCAGAAGGGACTAGACTAAAGGGAGAAATCCAGGAAACCAGGCGAAGATCAGGAACCGAGAAAACAGGAAAGGCAAGACTAAGCTAGGCTAGGAGGCTAACAAGGGCTCTGTAGAGTAGCTATCAAGAGATAGGCGCTAAACAATACTCGGCAGAGGGAAGGGATCAGAGTGAGTGTTAAATAGTGAGGGAGTGATATGAAACAGCTGGGTGCAATCAGTGTTGTGCGCAATTAGTGAACCAGCTGTGCAATCAGTGCAATGAATGATGGGATATGTAGTCCGGGATGATTTGCAACAGTGTGAGTGCGAGAGTCAATGAAAAAGGGGAAGGGTGACCTCTGATGGTTAGCCGACGGAAGTTCATGGACCGGATTCGTGACAAGTAGTATGAAGAATACCATAACAAAGCAGAATTCTTAAGTGTAGTACCGGGATAATAATGACTGGTAAACTAATGGCCAGGGAAACTCACATCCAGGACTTTCACCATCAGCACTGGCGCCCCTCAGGGATGTGTGCTCTCCCCACTACTCTTCTCCCTGATGACTTCACCTCTAAAGATGCCTCTGTCAAACTTCTGAAGTTTGCTGATGACACAGTCATCCAGGATGGTGACGAGACTATAGAAGTGAGGTTGAGCAACTGGCTGGCTGGTGCAGTCTTAACAACCTGGAGCTCATCACTATCAAAACTTTGGAGATGATAGTGGACTTCAGGAGGAACCCCCCTGCTCTCCCCCCACTCACCATCATGAACAGCACTGT